CATGTACTGTCAGACTGGTGCGAGCTCCCGAAGTTCCAGGGAGCTCTGACGCTGTGTGTGTAGCAGGAAAAACAAATGAGAAAGGGAAAAAAAAAAGAGTCGTCTCTTTCTCGGTGACGATGATAATGTTCTTCGAATCGTTGAAGATTCGTTGCTGTTTACTATTCTGTTTGTGACYGTGTATGACCTTGCTGTTTGTGACCATTGCTGTTTACTATTCTGCTTTCCACAAACACTTAGAAAGACAGAARAGGCCAAGAGCTAAAACAGTGATACAGAAAGCACCAGCCATACACTAACAAAGAAAACGTAGAGTCAGAGACAGAAAGAGCGAAGTGAGATTCTTCATTGGGGTTGCTTCCTGACGGTGTTCGCGGGCGCAAGCTGCGCTGGCTGCACCTGCTTGTGTTTTTGATTTATTTGTTGCACTTTGCTTTCATTGTTGGCATGTCGTCTTTCGCTCAACGCTCCACAGTCTAGGAGTAGGGGGGGAGGAGTTTTTGAGGTTATCATTCTTCTTTGCGTGTAGCATGACACACACATCCAGGGGTGGGAGGAGAAAGCTAGTTCATTGTTGTTGCAGTCTGTTTTTTTTTCCCCCATGTTGTTCGCCCTCTCGGCGTTAATGTATCATCTTGACTTTGAACTCTTAACGTGTCAATCAACAGTTTGATGTGTCTGCCATTCAGCCACTGAAAAAAATTGCAGTGTGTCCAAACAACTGCATCAAAAGGTATCATTTCATAACTCAAGGAGATGAAGGGAACAATCGAACAGGAAATCCCGTAACGGTTCCAGAGGCAGAATCACGCCAGGTTCTGTTGTCTAGCAGGATGCGAACCAAGGGCGGGCACTTGGCGACAATATCCTTCGGCATATCGACCTGATCCATTCCGTATTGTAAGACCCCGCATAAATTCACAAAGATCCATACATCACATGCTCGTACATGATACCCCGGGTACCCATTTCATGAGAAAAATGCGGAGGGGAGGCCTGCTGTTACCAAGGGATTCGCGGAAGGGGAAGGGGAAGGGGGAAGGGGGGAGGGGGGGGGGGAAAGAATGATTACTCAGGTACAGCATCATGTCATGACAGTGAGACAAAGCAGAAAAATACAGTTAACGCTGATGCCATACAGAGCTCATTGCAACTCATACGGACATTCACCCATTTGAAAACCAAAATCCGGTCATCGACACCGTATTTCTCAACCCACTTAGTACGAAAAAAATTGGGAACAAGAATACCAAATCCTACATCATCTTGCATGGCCAGGTTTAACAAACCGAAGGGACTGCTTTCAAATCACCGTCGAAGATATCCTAAATGCACCTAAACCACGGTGTCGCCGAGTCCACCCCGGGGCGAGACATGTCACTCTTCGATATCAAATACCTACTTGTTGACATCAGTCATTCTCCGAACGCGGGTAGCTACGGCGTCCCCGAGTGAAAACACAGGACTATCGCAACGCCCCATCCCAGGTTCTATGTGCGCCATTATCCTAAAGCCCCAACCTCGTAGTCCTGTTCCAACTGATTCTCCCTCGGCCATCACGGCACAAACCAACCCCACAGCTACTAATTGCTAAATAATCTCGGGAATAGTCCAGAACTAAGCATGATGACTCCGGTCAATTTCCAAAAAAAATCTCTGCCCTGCGCTTGCCCAGACTACCCTCCCGTAATTGAAGCAAATGCACTCATGGTCCTCTCATAATATATGCATCAGTAATTGCCGCACATAGAGAGGGATATCAGAAGTATATCCCAAATCTACGACTTTGATCGGAATATTACAAAAAATATATAACACGTAGCTCCTATAGAAAGAAAGAAAGAAAGAAAGAATCCCTGACCACAGCGCTTGAACGTACGAAATTCATAGAGATCCCAGCATCATCATCTCTCAGGAGCGAGCATAGAGATAGACTCTACAAGAAAAAGCCAATTTACACTGCACTCTCTACGATAGTGATCCTATGCTATGAAGCGCCCACTCTCACGAATAGACTATACAGGGGTTTCGCTGAGAGAGTTATGCACAGAATCCCCTTTGTTAACCGCTACCCTCCCACATACATAACCAATTCCCCATAACTTTACAGATTGATCGTCATTCCTCGGAACCGATACGTCGAAGCACTCCCGACGCTCCCCTGCTGCGCTCCACTCCAAAGACGTAAAGATGTTCATGCGCAACGTCCTTCTCCCCAAAAGGTCTTGAAACAGGCGTACCAAACATGCAACCACCAACAAGGATAACAGGATGGACAACCATACCAACAACACAATGCAGGGAAAGACGAGTGGTGAATGGAAGAAAACTGATAGGTATATGGAAGGCCGGGGTTTAGGGGACGCATGGGGGTAAGGGGTCCTCATTAGCCAGGCGATCACCATTTTACCACAGAGAAGGGTAGGTGGATCTTTGAGATGAACAGAGGCAAGGCTAGGGATGGTGGCTACTCCCTAAAACATGTTTTTCGCCATGTCGCCACAAACAAAGGCTCATCAGAGGGTATTCAGAGCACATGCACACACACTATCCATTTCACTGGCTGAGGTGGGAAGTGTAGGGGACGAAGGGTGGGGAGTATGGGGGCTGGTGGGTGGGGAAGAGGAACGAAAAGTTTCACCTCCGTGGCATCCTCGCTTGCACTTTTGTCGAGCGATTGAAGATGAAGCATTTCATCAACATCATACGGGTACTCCATGGTGGCATGAAATCAGGGAGCAGATAGCACCCTCGCTCCGATCGAGAACACAAGAGCTGGCCTCAAGGATACGTCAGCTTCAAACGGAGCAATCGAAAGTGCGAGGGGAGGGCGGCGTGGGAAGGGGGCGATGGCCAGGCACACGTGAAGTGTAGCAGCAGATGCTCGGAAAACGCGGAGAGTTCATGAGGACCGGCTGGCGATGCAGAGGCTGTGGGGTTCGGAAAACAGTTTCCACCGGCGCAGAAGACCTGCGCGTGTACTACCGCCAGATATCGCAATGCGTCATCGGGAGTAGTAACACGCTTCAGCCTTCGGGAAGTGCGGAATGGGAGGTCGAATCGGTAGAACTCGTCGGCTATATAGTCAGAAACTCCGGAAAAACTGGTTCCAATTTTGCTGTCATCTAGTCCCACACTGGGATGAATGTTCTGTATAAGGGGCTCAACCAGGCCCATAATGGTACCCGGCCCGAGAGATTGGAAAAGAAATTGATAAAAATTGATAAAAATTGATAAAAATTGATAAAAATTGATAAAAATCGATAAAATCGAAAAAAATCGAAAAAAATCGAAAAAAATCGAAAAAAATCGAAAAAAATCGAAAAAAATCGAAAAAAATCGAAAAAATCAGTAAATCGTTGGCTTACCTTTACTCAGGGGTCTCTTACTAACTGAAATGAAGGAGGGCATCCCCTGGAGTCCCTCTCGTCCAATTTCTGTCCAAACAAGGTAAAGAGGGTTACAACTATAATGCGTGTGTGTGTGTGTGTGTGTGTGTGTGTGTGTGTGTGTGTGTGTGTTTTCATGTGCCTGTGTGGCTGTGTGGCTGTCTGTACCAAGGTGTGTGTAGCACCTTACGCTTATTCCTATGTGTGTGGGAGTCGGGGCATTGTTGAGGCGGAATGGCATATATGCATATATGGTTGAATAAGTCGGTGCTGGCGGTGGTTGGATTTGTGGCTTTTCCTTGCCATGCATGCAACAGCTGGAAGGCAGCAGCAGTGCAGAACTACCGAAAATTTCACGAGGCCACAGCGGTCCAATCACCTCTGTGGATTGGCATCCCCTATTACCAGTTTTCATCACGGGCTCAGAAGACCGCGCGGTTCGCGTGACTTCTTTGTGATGCTCAGGACTCTCAGAGTTTCCTTTAAAGTCTGTGATTGCTGGGTGGCTAAATTTGTCACACTGAGTTACGTACGAATGCTGGTCCTTCCCAGCATGAGCATGGATCGTCTCCTCTGCATACATTGTTTCATCTCAGCATCACTTTTTTTCACTGTGAGGCTTCGTCACCGTTCCACAAGGTGTCCTGCTTTTCACTCTTCCCACCAGCAAAAAAAATCTGCAAGTTGCCGCTTGCTAGGATTCTCCATTGCTAAATCACTCTAACTTGCAAGTTGCTGCAAGTTGCTCCGAAGTCGCTGCTTGCAAGTTACAGCAAAGCCACTTTTACATCGCGGCTAGAAAGTTACTGCGGTTGCTTGCCAAGTTGCTGCTTGCAAGTTACTGCAAGTTGATTTGGAGTCGCCGCTTGCAAGTTTTACTGCACGTTGCTTCGTAGACGCTGCTTGAAAGTTACTGCTAGTTGCCTGCGAAGTCGCTGGACGCCGGATACTGCAAGTTGAAGCCCCTGAAACAACAATTTATTTCCTTTCATAGCGAAAACAATCCGCGCTCTTGCACCTGATTACAGCAAGTTGCTTGCAAAGTCGCTGCTTGCAAGTCGCTGCTTGCAAGTTAGTGCAAGTTGCGTGCGAAGTCGCTGCTTGCAATTTACTGCAAGTTGCTTGTAAGTTACTTGTAAGCTGCTGCCTGCAAGTCACTTGTAAGTCACTTGTAAGCTGCTGGGAAGTTACTGCAAGTTAGTGCTTGCTACTGGAGAGTTATGGCTTCCTGAAATTTACTGTGCTTTTTTTCTGCCTGGAAGTTATTGTCAGTCACCTGTAAGCTGCTGCCTGCAAGTTACGGTGTTTATATGCAAGGTGCTGGTTCCTCCCAAGTTACTGTGTTCATATGGACGGTACTGCGGCCTGCAAGTTAGTGCTCGCTGCTTGCAAGTTACGGCTTCCCTTCAAGTTACTGCGTTGTTTTTCAAGTTGCTTCTGGCCAGTTAAGTGAACTTCTTACTTCCTCAACACGTCAGTTCACGTCAGCTGCGAATTGCCCCTTGCAAGGTACTTGATGTCACTGCAAAAGAAGTTACGGCTTGGAAACTCATCTGCAAGCTGCTGCTTCCCAGTTACTATGAGTCATTTGCAAGTTACTGCTTACAAATTACTGCAAGTCATTCCGAACTTGCTGCTTCAGAGAAGTTTGGTATTATTACCAGATATTTGCCCAATTGAAGGAAGGGAGGAGGAGGGGGTGGGGGTTGGAGGGGGAGAAAGAGGTTGTGAAGGCTCTTCTAAATGTCAGCTGCAGTTTGCCGCTTGCGAGGTGAACGCTGTACTGAATTTCAGATGGGGGTTGCCGTTGGCGAGTACTAGAGATGAGAGTTGCAGTCAATGACGTCAGCCAGTATATAGTCTGCAGTGATCCTTGGAAGTCGGGAAAGTAGATGTGCGAGCAAGGTTCTTCAAAGATGCATGCAGCACATGCAAACATGGTGTCACACATTTTGTTCTGTGACACAACTTGATCTACATAGATATATGACAGAGCTTATGAGAGTTGCAGTCAATGAAGTCAGCCAGTATATAGTCTGCAGTGATCCTTGGAAGTCGGGAAAGTAGATGTGCAAGCAAGGTTCTTCAAAGATGCATGCAGCACATGCAAACATGGTGTCACACATTTTGTTCTGTGACACAACTTGATCCACACAGATATATGACAGAGCTTCGACATGAATTCAAGATTGCCGTACTCGGCATTGCGCGGGCGTGTGGCCCTTATTTCTATGTATATTTAGAATGAACGACGCAGGAGGACGCACATGCACGCACACGCTCGGATACCATACTCGGCATTGCGTGCGCTTGTGGCCCTTATTTCTATGTATATTTAGAATGAATCACGCGCGAGTACGCACACACTCGGACACACTGCTTGCAGACGTGTGCGTGCCTGGCACCGATGTTGTTATTGGTTTTTTTATTAGAAAAGGGAGGAGGATGGCAGGTGCAAGGTGTGTAGTACTGTGTAGTATGTACTGGTGTTATGCTCGAGAACTGCGCTGCAGGAAAAGTGTAGGTTCGCGTTTTTTCATGGGCGGATGTCACATGCTTTTCCGCTCAATCGCATCTGTGGTGAACCTTCTGCTTGTTCAAACAACACACAGCTGTAGTCTTTGCAATCAGTTTTTTTTTTTTCTTTTTCCCACAACTATGCGGGCGTTGAGAGTCGTGTTGCACAGACACGTGCACATCCGTCAGAGGCCCGACCCTCAAATGAGGGGGAACATGCTAATTCCGCCCGCGTTCACAGTGCACGTGGACGTCAAGTGATGTAAAGTCTCTCTTAGCTCAAGCGCACAGTTATGGGGGATCTTGCACTCTTATAAAATATATATATTTGCTTTATGTTTGCTTTATAGTTGTTCAGAAGGGAGTGAGGTCATTGTTAGCTGATTGTTCACAAACAGACTTACACACACACACACACACACACACACACAAGCACACACAAACACACGCACACGTGTGCGCGCACACACACAAACACACAAACACACGCAAATACTTGCACATGGGCATGCACACGCGCACACACACACACACACACACACACACACACACACGCACACACACGCACACGTGCTCGCTCGCACACACACACACATGCACACGTGCTCGCTCGCACACACACACACACACATGCACACGCACCCCCCCCCACTCTATATGTATAACTAGATGTGTAAACAGTTTCTTACCTACCTTAGCGCCAGGAAGGATGAAGCTCCATGCTGCTGGTTTATATCTGATCCTTCATCATCTTCTAAAGTTACGTTGTATGTGAACGCAGTAGGTGAGATCGACTTGCAATGTTGCTGCGTGTGTGCCATGTAGTATGTGTGATAGGCTTTGGAGGCACACAGAGAAGCATATGTGCTACAGTTTTTTTTGGAGGAAACCTAGAGTACAGACTGTGCGCAGATGTCTCCGTATGCCGTATTGCGATGTGTTGGGAACATGCATGGTTGTCTGTGGAAGCTTGTGGAAGGCTAACTGGACGTGATTGCGGCCAGATGCATCCTTTTAATCGACAAGTGGACGGAGGTTGGCAATAGAACTCCTGTGCAGTGCTGTTTTCACGAATGAGGTGTTGTGCAGCAGGACAAACTCCAGCTTCTCTTCGGGCACACTTGCACGTGACTTTTTCGATTCATCTCTGCATCTGATTGCGGCCAGGTGCATCCATGGATGGCCGTAATTGCAGTCAGATACGTTTAGGAAAGTGGTAGTGTTTAGTACGGCCTCAGTCGGTCGCCAGTCTCAAGAATGTATTTGCTCTTCTGGTGATGGTAGACGGACACCTGGCCTTGCAGCTTCCATCGGTACGCCAACCAGCTTACACTTGGCATGGAATCCCATCGCAGTATATTGAAGGCAACTAGGAGAGTCTGAGCTTCTAAGATTTTGGTGGAGCTAGACGGATAAACCATTAATAGAGTTGAGATGAGCTGAGGAGTGAATAGGGACTAGCTATCAGAGTTAGGCCTGGCGAATGGAGGCTACCAAGCAAGCCTAGGCCTTGATGGAAGTAAATAGCAGAGCTCAGCAGTGCCGATTGCCGATTGAAGTCGATGCAGAAGCAGTGGAGTTCAGATCGTACAGGTGACGACTGAGTTCCAGTTAAGAAGATGGGGTGACAGTATGTTGGAAAGTGTGGCCAGAAGTAAGTAGCTGGCACAGTCAAAGGTAACTAACTAGTGAAGGGGTAGGCATTCTCCGATATCAAACTCCTACAGGTCTGGAGGTTCCTTCGTTTCTGTAGACGCAATGCTCCCGGCCGGAGGCATAGAATGACAACTCAAACAAGCCTATGTTCTATTCGCTCAGTCGCACAGCCAAAGAAAAAGCACAGAAGGGGGGGGGGAAGGGAGAGAGAGAGAGAGAGAGAGAGAGAGAGGACAAGACACAAGCAATGCCACGATGCTCTCGGCCATGGAGTCGGTAGACAGTAAGGAGAGAGAGAGAGAGAGAGAGAGGACAAGGCACAAGCGATGCCATGATGCTTCCGGCCATGGAGTCGGTAGATAGGATTCCTGCACTTGCTAATAAGTAGGTATACAGCACGAGTCCTATTTTGGCTGTGCCGCTTTTGCCCACGAATGTACATTAGCCAAACTCGGGTTGTCATTTGCGGCATGCTTTTGTAGGCTTGTAGCATTTTAAGAGCGCAGACAGGGAACTGTGATTAAAAAGAGAGTAGACAAGGACCCGTGCAATCGCTGATCCTCTGTAGCATCGGATTTTTCTATGGGTTTAGCTGCGATCATGCGCCATGGGTATCTATGTGAAGACTCAGTTCTCTTCCAAATGGACATATCCGTCTCCCGAAACCCAAGGACTCGAAATATCAGAGGAAGGAATGCAATTCCCAGTCGTGGAGTGGATGGGACTCTTCTCCTTCTATCCTCTGTAAACTGCAAGGGTGTCAGCATTTTCTTCTTGAAATGGCCCTACAGGCTAAAGGCTAAAGGCCCTAAACCGATGCAGTTTTGTAAAATGCCCCCCAAACAAACATGTGTTAAGTCGATGAAGTTACCTCCGAGGATGGGGGTATTTTACAAAACTGCATCGGTCGACACCTTCTTGGAGCAGGCTTCAAAGTTCAAACCATCCAGGAGGAGGGGGGGAGGGGGGGGGGGGGGGGGACCACATCTGAGCTCTGTTGTTGGCACGCTGAGGCTCGATTCGATAGCGCTATCATAGCTTGGTCTCAAGGCTGCAATTTCTACTTGGCCGCAGAGAACCGAGGATGGGGGGGGGCGTTTGTGCGCGTAAACCATTCGTCGCCAGGAGAGGCTGATCACATTGGTACAGAATGTGTTGCGTGCGTCTTGCCAGGGCGCTAAACCAGCAATTTGCTGAGTTTGGCGGACTCAGTAGCGTTTGAAGGTCTCGACAACGGATGCCCTCCTTGTTATGCGGGACAAGAATGAATCTTCTGCTCAGCGCCTTTTTTTTTTTTTTTTTTTGTCTTTTGTGCATGTTGAGAGTCGTGGAGCGAGGTCCTATGCGTGATAATGTCGCATGCTTTCTGTCTTTCCGTCAGTGGTGCTGTGATTCATAAAATGCACTGAGCAGAAGTAACCATTATGACCGAACTGCGTTCTGTCTCCAAAGACCCATCTCCCATCTACCTGTGCGGGAATTTTCCATGAATGCGAGATGATGTTGTAGTGAGCACTGCCAGCACAAGAGGCAGGCAGCTGGAAGAGAGCTGGGGAGGCGATTATTAATGTCATTGGCATCATGCCTTAACTCGTGCTCAAGGAACGCCTTAACACATGCTCATATTTTTATTATAATTTTAGACAATATCCAGAAGAATCGAGTTCCTTCTTTAAGAAACCACCAAGAAGGACAGAAAGCACAGTAGCATTTTTTTAATCCCC